AGAAGGAAATAGTTTAGACTTAAAAATAACACATAAAAATTAGTAGAAACAAATAGTTCAAATTAGAAGTAGCAATTTAGTAGATTTTCCTCTCAAATCGACTTTCTATTCGCTATTCTACTCATTTTTCTTTGACATTCACAATACCTGAAAACAAATAATTCTTTCCTAAAATCTACTTCAAAGGTACGATCTGGAAGTATAGCTTTTAACTGACTCTCGGAAATAGAAAACTGGTCATTCACCAACGAAACAAATTTTGATGTAGCCAGATTGGTGCGCCAGGGCCTCACCAGTGCGCTCTGTAGTCACCGTTTCCAATTACTACTTGTTCCCAATTTCCCCGCCTGATCCTAGTCTTTTTTATACGCTTTTAGTTAACTTAGGCTTATTTCATGCTTGTAAAGATGGAATATTGTAATCGACTTCCTAATGTTATTGTGTTCTACAACTTTGTACTTTTGAATGTTCTCGTTGACAATACACTATTTTAATACTTTCTGAACTTGATTGTCAATTAATCGATTAGTATAAATAATTTTTATTCTATAATATTTACACTGATGAAATATAAATTAAAAGCTAAAAAAAGAGAAAATAATTAAAATAAAAAATTCTTCTTTTCAGTGCACTACTGATAATGTTTTTTTAAACCTTTTTTTTAATATGGGCTATTTACTACGAGTAAAATACAGGACATTAGGTACTATTATTTGGCAAAATTTCGTGAAATATTTTATACCTAAGAGGTATACTTCGCTACTTTTGCTAATTAGACTGAGATAGAGCATATATTATAGATTTTCACAAGCCCAAAGCTTTATGCAACCTTATCTGAAGAAGTGCGCTTTAAGAAATCTGAACTAAAAGGATTGTCTTATTAGGGAATAGCCATTTTAAATGCAAGAAATGTATCAATTGAAATTGAAAAAAAGAAAGAAACTGCAAAGTTTTTCTCAAGTAAAATTGATATTTTTGGAGAAATGCTTTAATTAAAGGAATAAGTAATATACTATTTTTAAAAAAACTTCCTAATTTCTTCCAATTCAATTTTTCTAGCTAAAGAACTGAAAGAAAAAATTCAACACGAGTCAGAATAAGCTTCCTGTTTAAACTAGGAGAGGCTGTTTTCTTTACGGTTCAACTTGCACTTTGAAGAATCATAAATAAATCATTGCAAAGACAGATTTAGCGATCTTTGGTATTTCTTTTCTGCTAAGATTGACAAATAAATCATAGACATATGAGAGACAGTCATTTCAGTTTAAGAGCTTCAAACATTGCGATTTCTTTTTTCTTCAGTTTATTATTTTGATAAAATTCCCTTTTAAGAAATTTATTTTCTCAAAAAAACACTCTCTTTTCATTTTGTATGCATTTTTAAACTTAACAAGATGTGTAAGTCTGTGTAATTAACCATCTTTTTTCATCATTATCGTTAGAGTCATAAACAATATCACTCAAACATTCACTGAGACATGGATAGATGGATTCTGGCAATTACCATGACAGAATCCCTCCACTGTATAATTATGACAGGGGTGTAGCTACAGAACGCTGTTCCGGCACTGCTTTCTTTACGAGAGATAAATAAGAGAAAAATGTGAAAACCTCATTAAAACAGCGCAATTTTGCTTATTTTGCGACCACAACACTGAATTATGAGTTTCTAATGTTGGTTGTGGTTCCAATTCCACTTTTAGCATAACTAGCCAGGTTCAGGAGCCAAATGATTTATGATAATGGGGAAGCTTCACCTTCTAGCCAAAGCTACCTTGGAGAACCTAGATATCATCTAAGGTTGAAGTCTGACTTAACTCCAATTTGTTGGGGTCGGTTGCCTTCCAGCGGCTTGCAAGCAAAACTGGCTCACATTTGTGTTTCGTTTGGATTAAAACCAGGAAAACCTCCAGCAACCGGCTGGACCGCAACGAGAAATTCGTTGCTAAAGCGTGCATCGGTCTTCCGGTTTTTGAATAATGTTGGTTAAGAGCTCACCCAGGATAGAACCCCTTACTTTCCTCCGCCTATTCATGCATATTTTTCCTTAACCCACTAGGTTTAAGTGATTTTTAGAATTTCATTAATATATATCAAAATAATATTCTTATTAACCTAGAATTTTTTTGTTGTGTTAATATGAAATATTTCAAATTTAATTTGCACAAATTTTTGTTTTAAAATATTTTTTGCAGAGTGATGTGATTTATCAAAATCAATATCTAACGATCCTGAATAACGACAATAATTATTTTATCAAAAATTGGCACAGAAGATTGTTTTCTTTGAGCATGCAAAATTTATATTTATTCCCACCCGAAGATTTTTCGCTACAGTACATTTTCTCTATAGTTGCATAGCAGATTATTTACAGAGTTACTTACAAATTGTAAAAAGTTATAAGTTTTCTCACTTGGCATTCCAGAAACACACATTTATTTAATACGCCAAGCATTACTTTCTCTTCCGTTGGTATAGAAGAATGTATGAAAACTACGATAACATGAGTTTTACTGTGAATTGTGTTTTACAAAAAATCGCTTTTCAGTATTTTCATTCCGGCGCAGAAACACTTTCTTACTTTTTTAACCTTACGACTTGCCAGAAGCTTTTAAAAGAGTTTATGATTTATCTTCGTGAAAAAGGAAAGCTAAATATTTTCGATTTTTTTTTCAGAGATTGCAGACCTTAAAACCCCTGCATCTTAAAATTTATCGAAAGTACCCTCTGAAGAAAAAATAAGAATTATTAATTAACTTAATTAATTAATTAATATGGTTAATTAACTTAATTAATACGGTTAATCAAATCTTATTTCGAAATTTCTTTGTTACCCAAGGCGAGATTTTTCGTCTCACACTGCGCATGCACCAAATTCTATCCAACAATTCCGATGAGTTTCTTCTGAATAAAAGTACAAAAATATTTCTGAAAAATAGATAATCGATATAATTGTGTTTTAAAGGTTGACTTGTGTAGTTTGAAATTTTTTCTTCACTTCTTATAGAAATGGTTGGAAATTTTGTCAAATTCTTGGTTGATTTGCACGAGACAGGCTCGATATACAATAAAATCAAGACATTGTGCAATCCTAAGTTAATATTTTATTATTTTTCTGCATTTAATGGAAACGGTATTTCTGTGTAAAGTCACTAAAAAAGTTTAATCCAATCAAAACAAAGAGTAATAAACTGTTGTTCAATTCACAAGCCTGCTGCTTATTTTAATTTTTCCCAGCAAAAGGAAAAATATTACTCTGTGTAGACAAACGTGAATTTTAAATCAATGAATCTACACAAATAAAAATATTCTTGTAAAATTAGAAGGCGGTATGAATATTTTATGAGATCACCGCGTTTTTTCTCTAATGGGAAACAGAAATTAAGGAAATGAAACTGAATTTAAGGTTAAAGAAAGTGAAAGGAATTAAAGAGAATTATTTATTTACTTCTTAAATATTAAATGCAGACTGTTTTGCTACCGGCAATTAGCTTTCCTCCACTAGAAAGAAAAACGATTGATAACTTTTTATTTATATCAGTGTACGAAATGTTATGCGTTATTTTAAAACGCTTTTATACTCTTGAAATAGGAATCCAAAGTTTAATGTTTCCTGATCTATTTATTATTTTTTAATAAATGCATTACCCGCGAATATTTAATTTTTAAGGAGGATTATAAATTTGTACTCGCGAAATATCTAAAATAAATATCAATACATCAGTAATTTTCGTTGAAATCGTTCTTAGAAAAATATGTTGCATTTTTCAGAAGTAGATTACTTTGTTTTCTAAGAATTTATTATCTGATATCATGGTAAACAAAGCTATTTGATCCCAGTTAGTTTCATTTAAATCTCATCTTTAACGCTAGGAAAAGTATATTCTTTATGCTCTCATTTTCGATTTTAAAAATACAAATCATTATCTAAAGAATGATTAATTTATTAAGAATCATTATTTACAGAACGATTGATTAAATAAGAATCATTATTTAAAGAATGGTTCATTAAAACGAAAAAAAAATGTTTATACAAAGAAATAAAAACTTCGTATGGCTCTCACCCTTATAAGTTTATTCTTGAAATGGAATTTCTACAATAGACGCTATAAGTTGTGTGGACCACTCTTGTATTTAATTTTTCTCAAGCAATTTATTTATATCAGAGTTTATTAAACTCCCCCCCCCCTCCCTCTTTGGTTGATAAAAACCAAAAATCTGCGATCCCATCTAAACACGAAAAATTTGTTCCTGACCACAGCGTACTTATAAGAAGGAGTTAAATGAAACATTATTTAATGATGAACGACAAAATTCAGATGAATAAATTTATTTGGAAAATTTTAATAAAATATGGCAGATTAAAATAATTTTATGGAATATTTTTATTTACCAATATACTGAAGACTGAAAAGTTCATAGCTGTCATTATTTCCGCAACCCCAAAATTCATGGGGCAGGAGCCCACTATTTAAGAAATCCTTATAAATAAAACAGATTTAGATTACTAAAGAGAAAATAGGTCTGTGTGAGTCAGGATGAACTGTGAAATACGAAGGGCGCATGCGTAACTATATTTCATTATAGCTGCGTTAAACAGCAAGGAAGATTTTAATGAAATGTCAGAAATCAAGATAATTTTCTGGAATACTTTTGTTTACCGGTACAGAAGACTCTGACAGGAGCACCGCTGCCAATATTTCCCCGACCCTACGTGGGGTCTGGACACACAGTTTAAGACGCCCTAAAATATATTAAATTTTTAACTACTATTAAGGAAGAATGAAACAGATTTAGAATACAGAAACGAAAATTTTATAGGGAGAAATGCGTGAGTCAGGAACAATTGTGAGATGCGAAGAGCGCATGCGTAACGATTCAGTTCAATGTAGTTGCGTTAACTAATGGGGGAGAGAGAATGTATAGCGTGCGGGTGCAGTCATCGGTGACAGTGCGATAAGTAGTAAATGTCTGCATCTTAACCTAAGCTAAAATATAACCGCCACCGATTGGGCTCGAACCACCAACCTTTCGGTTAACAGCCGAACACGCTAGCCGATTGCGCCACGGGACAGGCGAAACTCCTGCTTTGTTCTTATCTCACAAACAATACTTTTTGAAATACTAATCTAATAATAAGTGCATATTTGCAGAATCGTAAAAGCACACGCCCTGGGCCTGATGATCAAATAGGCAACTTCCTAGGGGTTTCCCAAATTTGGGGGACCCCGACACCACGCTTTTTTTCTCTCTCTTTTTTTTTTTGCATTATTTTCAAGACAAATTAATTTGATGTTTTCATTTGATTTACAAGAGCCTTGTATTCAAACTTATTCAATAAAATCGCATTATCGAACATTATTCTTAGTTTTGGGGTTTTTTCCTATTATTATTATTATTATTCATCTTTCCAAATTCGATTGCAGATCAGTGGGGTTCAGTTTGTTTTGCAGTTGTCTGACTGACTAAACAGTCCTGGAATGTATTGTATTAAAGTATTTAGATTGTGTAAAAAGTTTTGTATTTTTTTACAATTATACTTATTAATCTAAATTTTGCATATAAAAGAAAATATTATTTTTAATTGCGACATACCTAAACCAACTCTTCTGAAATTACCAGTAATTAAATGCTTTGATATTTCAGTTTGTCTTAATATTTATCACTTAAAAACTGCTTGTTTAGAGATTAAATGAAAATCAATAAAAAAAAATGTTTGGTTTTGGAAGTTGGGGAGGAGAAAAGGGGCCCGGAAATTTTTATTGCCTATGGGCCCCTACAGAGCTTAATTCGGTCCTGCAGACGCCTCCTTCGTTTCCAAAATTTTAATAAGTAAAGCTGGGCATTGACGATCGCGCTGTTCTACTCCATTTGTACCAACAACTGGTTTGTATTCCACTCACTCAACTCGATAGATTTAGGAAAGTCATTCACGGATGTTCCAAAGTTTGTTTTGAGACACCTTGTTTCAGAAGGTTCAAAGTCCCAGACTGACTCCCGCGCACTTTCCCCTCCCCAACGCTCTCCACACACACGCGGGTGATTTATCGCCGTCTCGAAGAATCATATTTCATTTTTAGGGCCTTCTGTTCCAATGGATATCAAATTCGTTAGAATTCCAACAGCGTTATCTTTCTGCGCCAATTTTCATCGGGATTTCACATTGACGAAAGGTTTTGCCTTTCCGTGTTCCAAAAATCGTCGAGTGGAACAGCGGTGAATGTCCCGCTTAATAGTGCAGGAAAAAAATCATTATTACTATTTCAAATGTAATTACAAATATTTTTTGTGTGCGTGTATAGTTTATTTTAATCTATCAAAGTTGACCGAAAATACCTGTTGAAGATACCCGCAATTATATCTTGTGATAAGTGCTTTATTTAAAAGTCAATATCTCATCTTTCCTTTTAAAAAATGAAAGGAGATTCAAGCTTATAGTCCAAAACATCTTAGCATGATAATGTCGCAGGCTTGATTCGTCTGGCTTGCTTGCATCAACCGTTGCATTCTGTGTGTAACGATTTTTACATCACACAATTTACAGAAATAATGCCAGTCTGAAAACTTTATCACGCATATGAAAACGTAAGGGAAAATTCTCTTTGAAGTTAATGTCCAAAGAAAGGTTTTTTTCTCTTTTTTTCGTCTCAGCATAACGTTAACATTGCCAAAAGCATGCGAGTGAATTATTTAATGAAGCAGTGAAATTGATTTGAATTTCAATAAAATAAAAAGTAGTGTTACTAATTGTATTTAAAATTAATCTTGAAAAATATTAAGAAAAATCTCTATTGAAAATATTAACAATTAAAGAAAAATTGAAAGGAAATAAAATTGTTATCACTGAAAAGCTTTTTTTTTTAAATTTCAAAGTTGTGTAAAAATGGTTTTTGAGCGATAATATCCTCCGAAGCTATTAAGGAAAAACCTTTGACTTCATTTTTAATTAATTAAAAACATAGTTAAAATTTTGAAAAACCTTTCTTTGTGAGAACCTACTACCTAAGAAGTAATTATGTGCTAAATTTGGTATCTCTAGTCCAACAGCCTGCCCTGTAGAGCGTTTGTATCACTCATACGCAATTTACAGAAAATATGACAGCCTAAAAGCAACTTAATATTTAAAAAATTATGTAGTTTGTTAAAAATGTTATGCGAAAACCGTCACACGATTGTCAGGTAACCATAGCAATTCAATCGAACGATTGATTAAGATGCCAAAAAATAAATGGAGAAATTTATTTTTTTGATGGAAAATCATATTGTCAATAGTCGCACTAGAGTTCGATGTATCAAATTTATATATTTGATTTTTTTTATATCGTTTCATTGGAAAGAAAACTTTTTTGCATTCTAAAGCCTTTATTTTATTCATAATTTAATTAGAAACGAAGTTAGATTTATTTGAACAACAAATTTAGATGAAATTTTAGTTCAATTTTCTTCATTTAAACAGAGTGAAAATTGCATGACGAACTTTTTGGTGTAGTTTATTTCAGCTAATCAATAAATTTCATTAAGAAATTTTTAAGAAGTTTCTCGTGCTAACTTCAACTGGCTGTCATTTGATTCTACTGATAATTTTTTCAAAATATATCTATGCTTTAAATATTGAATTTTTTAGTGAAAACGAAATCCCTTCGAATTTGGATGATCTTATTTTTCTCAAATTAGAATTCCTTCATAAACAATTGTTTAACTAGCAATACATAAAATGATGCTTTGATTTCATTGTTTTGAAACAGATCAATCAAATGTCAATCCAAAGTATTTAGCAAGGACAGGATTAAAAACTTAGAGAACGATTAGTTAATAAATGAAAATAATTTATACAAAACTGTGCACAATGTGTGATTTTTTTAAAAAATCTTGTATTCAATGCATAGTCTTCATAATTTGTAATGAAGGTAGATATTTCAAATCCCAAAAATTCAAAATATCAAAAATTTAAAACTCAAAATATCCCAAATTATGACACCTTTTCTACTTTTAATTTATTTTCCAACTCAAAACTTTATCTGCAAAGTTATAGCAAAATTGTGACATTGCTTAACAGTCGCTTTTAAAATCGTATATTGCATACCGATTTGTTTGTTATTTTAGAAACTTTTATGTACAGATACCTAACTAAGATTTTTAATTGCATTTTTGAATGATTTGCATCTGAAGAAATACCACATAAATGTAGTGGTGACTTATCTGGAAAAGTTAGAAGTTATAAATTCAAAAGTCTACAAAAATTTAGCTCATGTTTTTCCACTTAAATTTTATATTTCTTTTAAACAGGGAATCTTGCAGATTACATGCAATCAAGTTCCGGCTACGTCAACTTGCATTTCTACAAAATATAGATTAATAATGTTATGATCGTACCAAAAGGATATATACATACATTACGAAACATTAAAAATAACAGTAGAGACTAGAGATTACTTTCAAACAATTGCTTACAATATTTTTACGAGAAAAAAAAATTAATAAAAACAATTTCTAAAAACAAATTTTTTTAAGTCACCAAAATGTAGAAATTTGTTTTCTATTTTCATCATTTTCTATTTTTTTAGTCTTTAATTTATAATTCATAATTCATAATTGTAAATATTAAAGAATCTTGTAGACGATTTTTCTCAAATTAAGTGGCGCCATTAGTATGGAATCAAAGTTTAATTAAATTGATTGATAATTAAACTCTGAAAAAATTAAAACAGTGCATTGTCATCGAAAACACAAAAGTGCCATCCTTATAAACATGAAATAAGACAAGTTGAATAAAAGCGTGTAATAAAGAGAGAAATACTTGTAGATCAGTAATAAACAAAAGTAAAAACCGGAAGTTTTCGTAATCAAGTCAAATTAGTCTTTTCATCTGAAAAAATTCTTAGATTTGAAGAAAAATAAGGAAAATGGAATGATTATTTTTAAAAATTGCATTTTGTTTTTTTGTTGGGGGAGGAGATGAGAGGCAGAAAAATAAAATGGAGGTGAAATTATTAGTTCAAATTCTAAATATAAAATGCAGAACACTTCTTCAGACGATTTCATTTTGCAGCGAATAATGAATAACAGTTAATTAAGAAATGAAATAATCGAGTCAGTTCATGTTCACATGACAGCCGTAAAGAGCGCCACTTCTATTTAAATTTGGATTCCATTACGCATCTTGCATTTAGTGATCATAACTTTATGAATAGTTCTTTTGCTGTTTCAAATAATTGTTTATTTTCATAGTCCTTTTATTAGAACTAACTAGAATTATAATTGTTAAATTAGAATCGTAATTAAGATTTTGGGATTTTTTATTAGTTCTTAAACTTTGTCTAATTTCTGAACGTTGTTTTCTATTTATATTAGAAACAACCATTCGTGTTGGGTAGCATTATTAGAGTAACTCAAATCTAAATTGTATTGACGCTTTTTTGAATTTATGATCATCTTTAGTTAATTTTCCTAAAACTATTTATCAAATAACTTTTAATGTTTACAAGTTAGCAAATACATATGTGCACAGGTGAACTGGAAAAAACTTTATGCGCAAAATTTTTTTTCCAGTACACCTGTAAAAAACTTCCATCCAGATTTTCAGAATTCATGCTCTTAACCCCTTAACTGGTTTGCGCGTACGCCGTACGTGCATCGAATTATCGCGATTTTAAACTTATAAACTAAAACAAAATAATTCAAAAACATAATTCAATACAAAAGTTACGTGGAATTCATGAACATTTCAACTGCCCTGTAGGTCCTCAATTGAATTAAAATGACAACACATCCCTAAAATAAAAGGTGGCATCTAATTAGATAGTTGAGAAAATAAACCGATTAAGGGGTTAATGACGCCGAATTGTTAAGTGGAAATTTGAAAAATGTTATCATACCCCAATTGTCTTTCTGTTTTTACATTACAACAACAAAAAGTCGAGCAATAACGAATTTTTTGTACTCAAAAAATTTGTGCAAAATGTAAGCGCAGTCATAACACAGTAAAGTACATAACAAAGATGACAGGCGATTGTCATAAAGTGAGCGCAACATGCAGTTACGTATTAGATAACATCGCTATTATGTTTCTCATG